TCTGAGGCCCTGAGAGAACCTGGGCTTACATGCATGGGCTCTTTTCTCTGTGGAGAAGGCATCCTGTGGACTCCCCACAGATTAGACCCATGATCACTAGGACTTAGCGCCCAAAGAGTCAGCCAGAGCTGACTCCCTGAATGGTTCCTAGGAATCAGCTGTTCTGGGAACCGATGCTATCCCAGCAGCTCCACACCCACCACTCCCTCCCACTGAAGCCTATTCGTGGCAGATGAGGCATCTGAGCCCAACAGACGTGCTGTGCCTGACCGTGACCTTTGCCTGCAGCACAAAGGTTCCCCACATCATGTGTTAAATTCACATGAGGAGAGCCACATAAACACATCATCGAATGGCAGGAGGAAGCAGGCACAGGACCCCCTAATAAGAAGAAAAGAGAGAGGAAACTCTCTTTTGAAGGCCCTAGATCTTGGTGTTCACACACCTGCAAACTGGAGATGTCTGAAGCAAAGAGATCAAGGAAACAAGATGATGTGAAAACGCCTATCAAAAACAATGTCTGCACGTGGTTTTTAGCTCAGCCAGAAAGCATGCCCATTAGAAACTGCATGCGTGGTATACAGATGCTTATTAGGATTATGAGTTGAAGGCCAGTCTGGGCTACAGAGCAAGACCCTGTCTTTAAAAGAAGAGAAGAATGGGGAGGGGGGAGGGACATAGAGGAAGAGGAGGAAGAGGAGGCCACTGGAGAAATGGCTCAGTGGATAAGAGCACTAGCTATTCTCCCAGAGGACCCAAGTTAGATTCCCAGCACCTATAAGGTGGCTCGTAGCAATCTGTAACTCCAGTTTCAGGAGCTCCAACACTTTATTCTGGTTTCCTCAGGGGCACCATTTGCACACAGTGCACTTGCATACATGCAGGCAAAACACACATAAAGTAATTCTTTTTTTGAGACAGGGTTACTGCTTTGTGTAGCCCTGGCTGTTCTGGAATTCACTATATAGACCAGGCTGGCCTCAAACTTGGAGATCCGCCTGCCTCTGCCTTCCAAGTGCTGGGATTAAAGCCATGTGCCACCTCCATCTGGAAAAGAAATATTTTTTAAAAAGAGTATATGAGTAGGGGCTGGAGAGATGGCTCAGCGGTTAAGAGCACTGATTGATCTTCCAGAGGTCCTGAGTTCAATTCCCAGCAACCACATGGTGGCTCACAACCATCTGCAATGGGATCTGATGCCCTCCCTGGTGTGTCTGAAGACAGCGACAGTGTGCTCATATACTATATATGTGTGTATGTATATATATAGGTGTGTATATGACTATTTGAAAGTTCTTGTTTATAGCCAGAAAAAAAGTCTCTTTTAATAATGCTGAGTTTTTAATCTATGATGTCTCAAAGCGTAGATATAAACTCGTTTGGGTTGGTTACTGCACCCACCTAGAACATTCAAGGGGCAAATTCATAGTCTGTCTCCTTAGATCCACTCACTCAGAATCTCTGGGACAGGGCCAGGGCCCTGCTTGTTTAAATCCTTGGTTATATGAATTTGAAGAACCATTACTAAGAAGGATAAAGCATTGCTTTTTGGGTTAGTGAGACCCCAGATGTGATAAGTCAGGGTCTTAGTTCCTCGTCTCTTAAAACAGGGATAATAAGCCGGACATAGTAGCTGACACCTTTAAACCCAGCATTCTGGAGCATTGTAAGTTCCAGGACAGCCAGGACCAAATAGAGAGAACCTGTCTCAAAAACACCAGAAATAAAATAGGGTAATAACGAAAAGTGTAAAGATGAATCAAGTGTAGAACGCGTGTCTCTTAGACCAACATAAAAGTGCTTAACGCCACTTGTCTCTTAGACCAACATAAAAGTGCTTAACGCCACTTGTCTCTTAGACCAACATAAAAGTGCTTAACGCACATTCGTCATCATTTCCCTGCTAATGTGCCTAGGTGCTTCTGCCGCCACTCTGTGGTGTGGCTTTGCGGTAACTAGTCCCTCACAATCCTGTGAATAACCTGCATGGGACCTGTGCAAAGTCACCACAGGAGGTAGGATGGCTACACTTTTCCATTCTATGAAAGGCTGTAATTTTACATCTGGCCACTAGAGGGCAGCATCTACCTATCTTTTATTTATTTATTTATTTATTTATTTATTTATTTATTTATTTATTTATTTATTTATTTATTTAAATAGGGGTTTCTTTATGTAGCCCTGGCTATTCCAGGTAGCTCAGGCTTGCCTTGAACTTAAGAGAGATCGACCTGCCTCTGTCTTCCTAGTTGTGGGATTATCTTTTATTTTTAAGTTATCTTTCTTAATTTTAAAAACACCTCTAAAACAGCATTTTCCCCCAGTTGTGTGGAAGGTTAAGGGAAGCTGGCTGAGACTTACAGAGGCTTCTTACTTTACCTCAGCAGTTCACTCATGTGCACCCTCTCCCCAAAAATCCTTTATGACTACCCATCACTTAACAAACAGCCTGTACAACTTCACACACAGCATATTAAAATACAGATTATATGATACCCTATAAATACTTTTCTTTCTTTCTTTCTTTCTTTCTTTCTTTCTTTCTTTCTTTTTTTTTTTTTTTGGTTTTTCGAGACAGGGTTTTTCCTTATAGCCCGGGCTGTCCTGGAACTCACTCTGTAGACCAGGCTGGCCTCGAACTCAGAAATCCGCCTGCCTCTGCCTCCCAAGTGCTGGGATTAAAGGCATGTGCCACCACTGCCCGGCTATAAATACTTTTCTTTAAAACCCAGTTCTCTGATTGCCTCCAATTATAAAGTAACAATTTTGTTCCTAAGTCTAGGGTTTCCCCCAAGTGCCTGGTGACAGTTTCCTGGTCCCTGTAGTGCTATACAACTGCACACCAAAAATACCCTACTTACCACCCGCCCAGGCTACCATTCTGCACCCTTCCAGCTGGGGTATGTGTGGAAAGCATACAGACAGCCTCGGGGGAGGTGACAGCTCCTTCCAGACCCTCGGGGTCCCCACCTCACCGTGGCTGAAGGAATGGCTTCCCACCCTGCAGGATCAAGTACTTGGAAGGACTGGATTCCCGTCTCACGAGCTAGACAGAGGTTCCTAGTGAGAACTGCTCTCCAAGCAGGACCCTGAGAGTGGTCAGTGTGTCCGTTTGGGCCTCCACCACCACGTGAGGTCTATGTGGGAGGTAGGAGGCAGACATAGGAAGAGAATGAGGGACAGCCAGGAACGTTTACTTAAATAACTGATGTATCAGGATAATGCTGGTTTCCCATAATTCTCAGGCAGGGATGGGTAAAGGTGAGCTATGACCCACCACAGTAGACAGCTGGACTGGACTGTATAGGGATATGGTGACAGACCCATTGATCCCAGATGCAAGTACATGGAAGCACTCATACCCCATCCCTGAAGGAGCCTGCCGGACTCAGACTGAGTGTCTTCTGTGGTCCCCTAAGGGCATGTACCATTTGCTGGAGCAAACAAGATGGAGGGTACAGGCAGTGTGGGGACAGTGGCAGCTGGAGGCTGCCTATAACTGTCCACCGGGCTCCAGCTCCACTTTTCTCCAGACACATCCTCTGGCCCAAGGCAGAAGTCTCCTCAGGCCCCATCCTTGTGTGTATCTGTGGTACACTGTTGGCCAGTGGGTGAGCATCAGGGAGGCAGGCGGTTTCCGCTGTTTGCAGAATCCTGAGGCGCTGCAGTGAATCCCTGTGGCTGGGATAGGGCTCCATTGTAAGATATGCACAGGACCCAAGTGAGGCCCAGTCTACAAGCAAACTCTCTGCTCTGTTTGGGGTGCCATATTGAATGCCCACAGCCCACTCTCTCCCCAAATGTGTCTCTTTGCTAGCCTTGGAAAGTTGGAGAAGCTGGAGCTATCAGCTGCCATCTTGCTGCCTTAGAGGGAGAGGTATTTGAGAATGGGGTCAAACCAGAGACAATCTAAATCCTGCTCTGTTGCTTGACTCCTGCCTGAGCATTATGGGAAACCAGCATTACCCTGAGCATTATGGGAAACCAGCATTACCCTGAGCATTATGGGAAACCAGCATTACCCTGAGCATTATGGGAAACCCAGCATTACCCTGATACATCAGTTATTTAAGCCAGTAAACCATCCCGGCTTTGCCAGCTTTGATTGCATTTTATATTTCCTGCAAGAAGGACTCTAACAGGGTGTCACAACCGACGCTAGGTTGGGCCATTGACGAGCTTTTAATCTCCTATTGATCTTCCGTGAAACCCAAAGACTCCTGCTGACTCTCTTCTAGTCTCTCACTTGCTTTGGCTTCAAACTTTGCCAGTGTGAAGCACACACTGGACTTTCCAGAAGACCGGGGGTTAACTCTGCCACAGCCTACCCATGGGCTAGAAACATACTCCAGGGCCCCACTTGTCAACAGAAAGGCGGGGGCTGGGCTCTCAGGACTTCCCATGCAGCGATTTTCTTTCCCTTCATGTTTATATTTGGCCAGGCCAATGAAGCCTTTAACCAATCCAGTGTTTCTCAACCTGTGGGTCAAAGGACCCTTTTACAGAGGTCGCCTAAGACCATCAGAAAACAGATATTTACATTGTGATTCTTTTTTTTTTTTTTTGAGACAGGGTTTCTCTGTATAGCCCAGGCTGTCCTGGAACTCACTCTGTAGACCAGGCTGGCCTTGAACTGAGAAATCCGCCTGCCTCTGCTTCCCAAGTGCTGGGATTAAAGTTGTGCGCCACCACTGCCCAGCTACTTTGTGATTCTTAACAGTAGCAAAACTACAGTTATGAAGTAGCAAGAAGTTGTATGGCTGGGGGTCAGCACAACATGAGGAACTGTATTAAAGTGTCATAGCATGCGGAAGGTTGGGAGCCACTGCTCTAACCCCTCCTTCTGTATTCCTCACTGCGTTTCTTCTGTAGCCGCGCTGGGCCCCTCCCCTTCCTCTGTAGCCGCGCTGCCCCCCTCCTTCTCTCTGTAGCCGCGCTGGGCCCCTCCCCTTCCCTGTGTAGCCGCGCTGCGCTCCTCCCCCTCTCCCTTTTCCAAATGAAAATTTGCCTTCAATAGAGCCTTGCAGGTGTTCTCTTAGACAAAATATTCTGGATGGGCAAGAAGAGACCATTCTAATTCCCAAACAAGGTACCAGATTACCCATAAACCCTGCTTTTTGTATTATTGGATTTGTCCCACTTCCTTCTCCTATGACACTGGCTAGGCCTTTGGGGTATGAGTATTTGAAATCCATGTAAGCTTGAATTAAGACGGGTCTGTGCAGACCTGGTGGGGTGCGGAACGGTGACACCAGTAACTTCCAAGTTAAGGAGCAGGCCTAGTGCTTCTACACGCTGTGGCCTCGTTAAACTTAGAATCCTGTTGGGACACTTTCCATTTGAAGAGCTGGTTTTTTTGTTTTTGTTTGTTTGTTTGTCTGCTTTGCTATTATTGTTTTACCAAGTTCCAGGCCTTAACTTTATCCTTATGAAATATATAATTTTATGAAATTGCTGCCATTGCCATGGCCCACGCGCTTTTTCAGCTCTCATTCTCTCGTTTGCCTTATTGGCTTTGTTAGAACTGTGGATTTAATGGGTCCAAATCACCAGAGAAACATGTTAACCAACACTGGACCAACCAGATAAGCCGAGCATGCTCACTTAGTGACTTAGTGCTCCAGAGGGAGGAGCCACTGACTGCATTGCCAGGCTGTCGGCTGTCGCGTGCCCTCTGGGACTTCAGATGCAGACTTGCCTGAACTTTAGCAAGAGCCGAGACATCTTTGTACTGTACCTTCCATGGACTTTGGCATCCAGCTCTTTTTCCTCGGGTAAAAACCATTAATGCAGCAGCGTCTTCATAGAGTTAGGCTGAGCCTGGGGCTTCTCTACGCCTACCTGTTTCCTGTGCTGTTTGTCCTGGACTCCCATGATGCCCCTCCCATCTCAGCCTCCTCCGAGCACCTTGGGACTATGGCATACCTGGCTCCCTATGTCGTCACAAGCCTTTGGGGATGGAGCTAGGAATTGGGCCTTTGAAATGATTTCTTGCTATGCAGCCCAGGCTAGCCTCAAACTGCCAATCCTCCTGTCTCAGCTTCTGCCTCCCAAGTAGTGAAATTACGAGTCTGTGCTACCACATTTATCACATGCCACCTTTTAAAATGACTTTCAGAAGTCAGCTCCCAAACTACTTAGCAAACCTCTTGTGTTGTTGGAAAAGCAGAACGCAAGGGGACTTCCAGTTAAGACAGCATGATTGGAAAGGAGCGCTGCCAGCAAGAGATAACAAGGAAGTATATGTTAAGCCTAGTCACGTGGTAGCACATATCGTAACCTCAGCATTTAGGAAATAGAGGAGTATCAGGTGTTCGAGGCCATCCTCAGCTATATAATAAATTTGAGGATAACTAGTGCTACGTGATACTCTATTTCAGAAAAGCAAAGTATATAATAAAATGTTGAAATTAATTTGTGGCTAAAAAATTATTCTAGGGGCTGGAGAGAAGGCTCAGCAGTTAAAAATGTTTGCACTTGCAGATTACCTGGGTTCAGTTTCCCAGCACCACATGGTGGCTCACAACTATCTGTAACTCCAGGTCCAGAGAGTCACAGAACCCTCTTCTGGCTTCCATGGGTACACACACACACAAGGGCAAAACACTCATTCACATAAAATTTTCGAGACAGGGTTTCTCTGTGTAGCCCTGGCTGTCCTGGAACTCACTCTGTAGACCAGGCTGGCCTCGAACTCAGAAATCCACCTGCCTCTCTGCCTCCCAATTACTGGGATTAAAGGCATGTGCCACCACTGCATAGCTGGTTTTTAATTTCATTTTTTGTTAATTGACGAGGGTGACCTCCTGTCGAGGTCAGGAGCAACTCCCCCAACCTGTTGGCAAATTCAAGGCCAGCCTGGGTCACATGAGACCCTGCCTCAAAAGACAAAAGAAAATGTAGCTAGTTAAACTGCAACACGGTGTTTTCATATTTAGAGTGTCGATGTATTCACCTGTGTATACTCGATGCTTATCATGGGGCCTGGTTTGGACCTATTTTGGTATGTGTCATTAACTGTTACCACGCCATCAAGCCCAGAGCCCAACCCTGTCAGACTTGGAGTGCTGTTGTTCACATACCTTCCTCTCGAGTGCTGAACGTGACTGCTGAACGTGACGGTCAGCAGGTTATCTAGGGCCTGTTCTTAAGGGGGTACGGGGGTGGGGGCTAGGGGGAGGGTGTCCAACAGTGCCGCATGTCACTGAAAGCATCTGGTGAGAATGACTGCAAGTTGCTCCTCAATTTCAGAGCTGACAAAATGGGAAACCGATGGACTGAAATAGCTCTGACAAGGTCCCCGTATGCCGAGGGTGACACCCTACCTAACCAATGAGCAACAGTCGCCATCAAACAGACCAAGCGTGTTCTGGACATTTGGGATTGGCACTAGCTTCTGTGGGGTAAGCCTCTGTCCCCCAGGAAGTCATGAGCACAGAAAGTGGGGCTGGGAGGAGAGTGGGTCACTCACATAGGTGGGACAGGCCACCAGCAAGAGAAAACAGGACCTCAGGGCTTTCCAGACCCTGTGTCTGGTCTTACATGGGACTTACCTTCTAGCTCCTATAATCTGTGACATCCTGAAGCCTACCGTGTATTGCTGAGCTGGCTAGCTAGTCCATGTTATTGACGAGGGTTCCCTCGTGTTGACCGCTGTATTTCTATGACTCTATTCTTTTTAGGTAGTAGCCCTCCCCACCCGTGAATGCAGCAAAGGGTGGAACTGGCCACATCTCCAACCCAACGCCTCCTTTCTACCTCAGAAGCAGCTGCCACTCTCCATCCTGCTGCTGTGGGTTTAGATCAGAAATGTCCCCCAAAGACCTTGTATTGACAGCCCTGTTGCAGCCTGGGGTGCTGTGGGGAAATGGTTGGATCCTTAAGAAGTGGAGCTATGTAGAAGGACACCTCTGCTGCCTGCTTTAGCAAGCACACACCTCCTTCAGCATGTGGTCTCTACCTCGATGTGCTGCCTTGCAACAGGGCCAAATGGTTATGGATTAAAACCCCCGGAGCCATGAATGTCTCTCTTATAGATTACTCTGTGTAGTTCATCACACTGACAGAAAGCTGGCTAACACACTCGGTACTTACTAGCTAAGTGGCTACATTCTTTGGCTACTGAGTTTGCGCCCAGAGGGAAACTTGGAGATGGTCTAGCAACGGAAACAGTACTGAGTCAGCCTGGGTGCTCAGAATATCCAGCAGGGGTTGTGAAGGTGCTGATGAGTCAGAAAGAGGTGCCCTATTCACAGACCAGCCTTGTAGGCCTGTCAACCGTCTCCAGAGAGGTAGGGTCTGAGATGGATGAAGACGTAAAGTTAAAACATGCCATCCACTCAGGCAGGGAAGAGATGGTTCCCACAGATAAAGGAGCTAGCTGCTAGCTGGGTCACAGAAAGGAATTCCATCCAAGCATTTAGAGTAAGCCGGAATGCTGACCAAGAATAAAATGCAAAAGATGTCCACAGACAAGTGATGAAAAGCAGGCTGGACCACCTGGTGACAGGCAGACAACTTCTATTAAGAGATGGCGTTCACCTTGATTGACCTTCAGTGCAACAGCCCTGAAGATGGTTATCATGTGTCCGTTTACGAAGTCCATGTGATACATAACAAACTTAAAAGCGGAAACAAGTAGCTTAGAACTTTGACTATAAAACAAACAAACAGGTACAATCGAAGCTCTGGTGGTGTGATTTGTCCCCCTCATGACCAACTGTCACGAACAAATAAAAGGGGCTGCCATGCCTTGGTTTTGTGGTTTTAGTCTAAAATACGTGACTAAGTCAGGCACGTGATTTTAATTTTGGAAGTGTGTGTGTATGGGGCCGGTGGGGGGGGGGATCAGTTAGTCAAACAGCATTAGATTGCATGCAAACAGGAATTGATTTATTATATTTATAACATTTTCAGTTGCTTTGTGCTAAGCAAGATGTCTCCGGAGTTTAATATCTCGGGGAAAACTATTAAAACTTGTAATTATGGTTTAAAATGTTCAGAGGAGTTTAATGAGGTTTACCAGTGAGGTTGTTTTGGGGGAGGAACTAAATCTGTTAAAATGAACAAATGATTTTGAAAAACCCACAAGATGTGTATGATGGCCTTAAATGGCCATTTTAATAAAGGGAAGAAGCTAACTCACTGGTGAGTGTTCGTCTGACTCACACAAGGCCCTGGGATCTACGCTCAGCATCGAAAGAGAACCTAGGTTAAAAGTCTTTATCGCCAAGAGACTAAAAACTCATTTATGGAATAGTTTGGTGGGCACACTTTTGTTCAAATGACTTTCGTGACTGTTAAAATAAACACTGATAAAGGACTGGCCACCAAGTAAGGCTCATGCCACCGAGCTTGGTAGTCTGAGTTTGATCCCTGGAACTCGCATGGGGGTAACAGCCAACTCCAAGTCATCCTGTGACCTTCTAAGTGGCTGTGGTACACACATGACCCCTATCCCCCAGTGAACAAATGCTTTAAATTTTTTTTTTTAGCTGGGCGGTGGTGGCGCACGCCTTTAATCCCAGCACTTGGGAGGCAGAGACAGGCAGATTTCCGAGTTCAAGGCCAGCCTGGTCTACAGAGTGAGTTCCAGGACAGCCAGGGCTATACAGAGAAACCCTGTCTCGAGAAACAAACAAACAAAAAAAAACAAAAAAAAAAAAAAAAAAAAAAAGAAACTGGAACATCAAAATGCTTAAATCCTGAGTCTGGAAACTTTTTCAGAATTTTTAATGCCTATACTTATCTTTAGCTAATTTGTATATAAATAGCTAAGAACAAGTCTGTGTGCGCTCTCAAGGTTTTGAAACCAGGACCAGCCTACTTCGATGGCTTTCTCCACAGAGACACAGTTATCTTCTGAGCTTCCTACTGTTCAACAGTAAATGCATACGTTTCCCAAGGCAAGTGCCAATCCCTTACCTACTGTCCTCAGTGGCCAGACCAGACTGAGAGCGAGCCCCAGAATGTCCCCTGAACCAGTCCCTACAAGGTTTCACCATAGACTTCTCTAGCTCAGCCCAGAAAGTTCTGATGTCTTTAGTTCCCCTAACTGCAGTTAATACTATGCTAAGGACTGTCCTACTTAAAAAAAAACAAAAAAAAACTTTACATGTATTTTTAGTGTGGTGAGCACGTGTGTGCACATCCATGTAGCAGAGGACAAGTTTTTCGAGTTGGTTCTCTTTACCGTGTGGGTCCCAGGGATAAAACTCAGGCCTTCAGGCTTGGCGGCAGCGGCCTACCCACTGGCCTACTTTTAAGTGATTCTTCCAACTGAACATAATCTTTAAAGTGAAAATTAGACTGGCCAACACACGCGCAGACTAGTGTTCTCCACGCTCAGTTACCATCACGCTAATAACAGAACCACTTAATACATGGGAACCTGGCAGACAGTCAGCCCACCATTTTGAGGAGGCACAGTCATGGATTTTAAAACCGACTCCAGGCAGAACTCCGAAACACGTAAGTTATTTTAACCATGATCACTTTTGCACTGCTCTGAAGCCTCGGGACTTCTACCGGCAGGCTCCCAGCACCACCACCATATATTCTTAGACAAAGGATACATCGGAGCTTATCATCCTATGTTTGGATATGGGGGAGTTCGGGCAGTCTACATTGTCAATGAGCTCTCTGCAATGACCAACTGCTACTCTTTGTGGTACATTTTGGGGTCTCTAGGGATTGAATTCGGGGCCTGGCATATGCTTGTTGTATACCCTACCACCAAACGCCAGCCCTCTATGGAACAGTTAGAGTCGGAGAGGAAAAGACAACCCAGACACAATCTAAGCTGTCCCCTGCATCAAAAACAAAATGGTTGGGGTCACAGAGAAGTCAGACTACAGAAACCAAAGCTGGGGCTTTTCATCAGGGGATCCTTCAAGCACTCATGACCTTTCAACCCCCAGTCCACTGAGGAGACCATCTTTTCCTTTTCAAAATAAAGAAGACTGACCGTACCAGGCTCAAAATCTAGAGGTGAGTGGGTTAAGGTACCCCACATTATTCTTGATACAACCCACCCCCATTCCTGAAAGTCAGCAAAAGGAACAAGCAAAGTAATGTCATGGGAGTGTTGTTTTAATACAGTCTTGTGCCAAGCAAAATCAGAATCTCCAAGTTTGTCCTATCTTTAATAGGCAATATTCAAAATTAAAAAAAAACAAACAAACAACTCTGCAGTCAGAAAACAGGCCAGCCACACTTTGGAGGAGTCTTAAAAATGAGAAGCCATGAATTATCTTCTTTGAAAAGCAGCCATTTCAAAAGGTTTTCTTTAATATCATAAAGTATTCTCATGGACAAGTGAGCTAGCAAACACACATGCACCAGTGTGCCTCTAACAAGAGTACCCACCTACCCCACCCCCAAGTGGACATGAAATTAAGACAAATGAATACAGCAGACGCGGAACAGGTAGAAGGAAAAAATTCAGTAAAAAGAATGGAATATAACTTTGTGCTTGGTTATTTTCCTATGTCACAACAAAAACATTTCGGTGCAAATAGTTAATTTTTCCTCTTTTCCATTTAAGACTGGTGGAGAAAAAAATACTTTTTTTTTCTATAATAAAATATGTAGTTTTTTGGTTTTTTTTTTCTTTTTAAACTTTTTTTTAAACGTAACTTTTTTTTTTTCCTTTTTTGCAGAAAATAATTTTGTAAACTGTCACTTTGCGGGCAGGAAGGCCTGGTGCCGCCTGGGTCGGAGCTCCGTCCCCCTTGGTGGCGAGCTGAAACCAAACCCAGCCAGCCAGACTGGGCGGAGGAGCAGGGTGGGGCGTACGCCCAGAAGGCCGGTGGGGGTTGGCAGGGGCAGGTTAGAGGTCACTCTCGCCGTACAACGCCGTGGAGAAGGACATGTAGTCTAGAGCACCGGGCACGGAGTCGGGGCCAGCGTAGGGGGCCATTCTTGCGATGCAGTACTCGGCTTGGTCAGGTGGCAGCTCGCGGCGCAGCTCATCCTCCGTGATGTAATTCTACGGAGAAAGCACGATCAGGGTCGCAAAGCTCGGCAGAGGCCGGAAAGCAAGGTGGCATTGCCGCAACTATTAAGTCGTAAACTTGCTAGTCATCGTCAGCAACGCGGCACTGCCGCAATTATTAGGTCGTAAACTTGCCAGGAATGTTAGGTAGGTAGCTGTGTTTTCCTCTCCGAGCTCTACTTGATCCGTACAATACATGCATGCATACATGTAACACAGACATCTGTATGTATTTATGTATTTTATTTTGGGGGGGGGTGTCGAAACAGGGTTTCTCTGTGTAGCCCTAGCTGTCCTGGAACTCATTCTGTAGACCAGGCTGGCCTCGAATTCAGAAATCCACCTGCCTGTGCCTCCTAAGTGCTGGGATTAAAGGTGTGCGCCACCACCGCCCGGCGTATGTATGTATTTTAGTGCATGTTATATAGTTACAAATTATATATCATATGAATATGGTATTTTAAACACATCATATTTTCTATTTTAGTGTCTACCTCAGCTTCCGTCCAAACCCATTTTACGCGGACTCTTTTCATTCATCCTACCAGTTTACAGTAACCACGTGCTGGCTCAGTGTCAACAGGTCCGTTGGTGGAAACACATTCCTAGGATCCCTTCCACAGCCACTCAACCGGCCTCTTTAGAGACCTCTGTCCGCGTCTAACTGTGAGTGCCCATTTTTGGCATCACAGCTACCTCTGGAAGAGCAGACAGTGCTCTTAACCTCTGAGCCATTTCTCCAGCCCACAGGCTGCTTTCTTAACTAGTCTACAGAACTGTGGGCCTTGCCACACATCTCAGTCTGCTCCCAGTCTGGGCCTCTGGATTTCCTTTCCTTTTCCGCTGCGTAAGTCAGCAAGGAAGTTACTGTTTTTTAGGAGCTGAAGGGTCTAGGACAGTGGCTCTAACCTGAGGGTCGAATGACCTTTTTACAGTGGTTGCATAGCAGATATTTACGATTCATAACAGTAGCAAAATTACAGTTATGAAGTAGCAACGAAATAATTTTATGGTTGGAGGGTCACCACAATGTATTGAAGGGTCGTAGTGTGAGAACGGTTGAGAACAGCTACTCTAGGACTTACCAAAGACTTTATAGCTCCAAGCTCTTCAACTGGGAGTCCCTTGGGACCCAGTGTGAAGAAGAAATGGGGCTGCCCTCTGTTCACTGCAAAAGTCAGGTGACCACTCCTCTTTCTGAGTTTTTTTTTCTTTACAAATTTAGTCATTTAAACTAGATGGCTTCTGAGGAGCCTACATACTCCAACTACTCTACATTTGCCTCCCCCATTCAACACACGTGGTTTTTGCTGACTCGCTGGGTTCCGTGCAAAGCCTATACCATGTCCTAACGGGCAGAGAGAGATGCAGAACGAGGCCCAATGGGACCCTGAGGGGAATGACTGAGATGCTCATATCCCAGCCCCGTAACCAACAGATAAGAATCCGAATGGTGCCCGGGCCACAAGAGACCCACCTTATCTCCAGCCAGGATCTTGAAGGAAGCCATGACCTGATCCGCTGTATCTGTGTCAGCCGTCTCTCGGGACATGAAGTCGATAAAGGCCTGGAACGTTACTACCCCCAAGCGGTTGGGGTCTACAATGCTCATGATTCGGGCAAATTCTGCCTCTCCCTGGAGGAAACAGTCGACCCACACTCGTCACCCTGACAGCCTAGTGGGGCATCTCAGGTGTCCCTCCAGCCCCAAGTAGCCTATGGTTGGAACAGGAGGCACAAGAGACCTCTGCTCTGT